AGCTTGGCATATTGTACCTCCATCTGCAGTTATATCCATCCTGATAATCATCTTGGTATTCTTTAGAACTGTGCACTTAGTGAATACTCAAATGCCAAGATAAGCATTTCGGCTAAAATGTTGAAAAGGTTGAAGTATTCTCCATGACGTCTGCCATTTTGACCAAAGTTAGAAAAGTTTGTAGTACAGACGGGCAAGGAAGTGGCAGAAAATTCACTTTTAAACTTATAATGGATTAATAGCAGCTCTTCATAGGTACATTTCTTCTATACACATACAGAATAATTTATTTTATTATAAATCGATGTATTATTATACTTTTGTGTCAATATATATCATTTATTGAAACACACACCTCCCGAAAGGCCTGAAAGGACATGTTGCCCAGGCAGGCCAAATAAATAAGAGAAGAATATATTTGGTGAAAGGTCTAGGTGAGGCAGTACTTGTGGGTATTTAAGCAAAGGTAGTTAAATGGGCAACTTGAGTTGCCAGCAGCAGCAGCGATTGGCGACCAGTTTCGCCAGCAGCAATAGCGGTAAGAAAAAAATACATGTCCCGTTGAAAAGCGGGCAGAAATTGAATAAGCCAAAAAGTTGGAATCCCAACCGCTGATGAGCAGAGGGATGGAAGGTTCCCACTGAAGAGCAGGAGCCTATAAATTTGGTGATATGAATGACACGTAAAATATAGCATACATTAATTGTGGCCCAAAATGCTATGCTTGCCATAAACGTTTATTCTGAAGAAAGAAACATACATTATTATAATATAATCCACACATGCAAATGGACAGTGACATTTGAGAATTGACAAGAGGCAAGGTAGGGGTGGGTGGGAGGGAATAAAACTGAACTGTGAACGCTATAGATAGCGCAGCAACCAAGAGCAGCGAAAGGCAATAGATAGCAAGTCATGTATATTGATATTGAAATTACCAATAGATAGATGTCACTGCTTGTTTCTTGGTTTCAGGAGTCAGTGAGACAGTATGGGTGACATCAAGCAGTTCCTGTATGCCTGGCTGGGGAAGAAGAAGGTGACCCCAGACTATGACTTCAGTACTGGGGGACCCAAACATCGCATGAGGTTCAAGTGTGAGGTATGTTCTACAAACAACCAAAATATCCTGGTCATATCAGCACCATCTCTGCCTTCGAAATGCAAACTAATCTGCTCGCCCAACACTACCTGCTTGTGGTCTTGACATGCTTGACAAGTAACAATTCAATTGTAATGGTAGTCTTCACTGACTGGTAACAAATGAGAGGTATTAGGGATGACACGATACATTGGTGCACCGATGCATCATGAGTTTTCGTGTTATGATACTTGGGCTGGGCCGGGTAACTCAGGTACTCGGGTAACTGATTACGTCACTTTGGTCTGCAAAGCATGTGATGCAATTTCATCATTTGTTCATTGATCTCACCTAAGCGATATCTCCTGTAGAGATCATTTTTGGATAATAAATATCATGATACTTTTGAGTCTATATATCACTACTACTACTACTACTGACCCGTGAAGATCCGGGGTAGAATAGGTCTTCAGCAACCCACGCTTGCCGTAAAAGACGACTGTGCTTGTCGTAAAAGGCGACTAACGGGATATCAATCACAGGATTGTCTGGTCCAGACTCGATTATTTACAGACGGTAGTCATATCGCTGGAATATTGCCAAGTGCGGCATAAAACAACAAACCAAAACCAAGTACTTCTCCTACTACTACTTTGAGGAATTTGGCACCCTGAAATTGCATAATGTTCTGACTGTCCTCTAGATTCGTGTTGACGGCTACGACTATGTCGGTGTGGGGAACTCCACCAGCAAGAAGGATGCACAGGCCAACGCTGCCAGAGACTTCTGTCAGTATCTCGTCCGCAGATCGGAAATGGTAGCCAGCGAAATACCTGGGGTGAGACATCAGACAAGACATAATGTCTGACAGCCTGCTGGTAATGCAGTAGGCAGCAACTGGCAGATTTCTTCAAAGCCTGTGTTTGCAGTCCTTGCCATAGTTCACAAACTACAAGGATACAAGAGTAATCTACCACTACAAATATCCTAATATCGTAATGCTTACAAACATTGTTTCACCCGTGAAGATTGCGGGGTAGAATAGGTCTTCAGCAACCCATGCTTGCCGTAAAAGGCGACTATGCTTGTCGTAAAAGGTGACTAACAGGATCGGGTGGTCAAGCTCGCTGACTTGGTTGATGCATGTCATCGTATCCCAATTGTGTGGATCGATGCTCATGAGGTCAATCACTGGATTGTCTGTTCCAGACTCGATTATTTACAGACCGCGGTCATATAGCTGGAATATTGCTGAGTGCGGCATTAAACAACAAACCAACCAACAAACATTGTTTTGAATTACTTCTGAAAACAGGTCACAAATCTGACTAGTATTAACGCTGTATTAAAAATAATAATAATAAAGTCCTGTACATCTTTGTAACAAATTTATAATTGTGAGTTCACAAATGATATGGATCAGATAGTTTGGCTTGTTTCACCAAAGTGGTAAATGTCTAGACCTGCATCACTTTGGGCTCTCCTCCCATCCTGACACGCCATATTACAAGTGAAATACTAATCAAAGGACCATTGAAACTTACTCACTCACCCACTGTTTGCCACAGCTGGAGCTGACTACAGCGCCACCACAGCCAGGGGCAGATAACTTTGGAGAAGCACCTGGATTACCAGGAGGACGTCTCCAGCCTCACCAGACTCTTGGTAAGTTATATTTTCACCTGGTGACACATAGTGATAGTGACTTCACTCTGTCTATATCATTGCCAGGCACCAGAATGTTTTTTAGGTACATCTATTAAAATCAGTTTGGGGTGAAAGACTTGCTCATGTTCAAATATTAGAAAACCATTCCCTGAATCCCTCTAAAATCAGATTTTTGACACATTCTATACTTACCCATGCATCTGGTGTTGTCATATTGCCGCCTGGGGTGTCTTATCCAATTGGGATTCTAAATTTAAGCGCAGGCTGCTCGATCAGCTATTCTCGATCTCAACATTTTTTAATGGCCAAATAAATGACATGCATACCAAAGTCTCAAGTTATGCTCAAGAAGAGACAGCACACTAGGCTCTGAAACATATATCCCAGAACTTTGACAAACATGAGTCAAAGTCAGGGAATTATGGACCCAGGTGCTCATCCCTCAAGGACCGGACCAATGATGAGTCCTCCTGTCAAGGTAAAGGATGAGGCAGGGGCAGTGGCAGTGGCCAAGGCTCCTGTCAATCTCGTAAGGGTAGTTCTCAGGGTAGGAACGGGGACCGGAGGGGTAAACATAAAAATAAATTACATTGATCTAATGGACAATCTCTACTGGGATCTCCCACCTCCAGTCGTCACAATAGACGACACACCAGTATCGGTATGGTAGACACATATGCTCTCAACATCTTAAGGTACAGGTATTTCAGACAGACCTAGACCCTTATCAATGCCAATGACAGGTGGATGAAAATCGTACGTCATCTGTGCCCCGCCCTTCAGCAGCCCCTTACACGTCACCAATGGCAGGTGCTTTTGGGAATGCTTATGTCAGCTCAGGACTTGACAATCAGGGGTCGTGCTTATGTCAGCTCAGGACTTGACAATCAGGGGTCGTGCTTATGTCAGCTCAGGACTTGACAATCAGGGGTCGGTTGCAGTTATGACTGGTCCAACAGTTCCTAGCTCCTCATACCAGGCGACAGGACCCATCTGTATCCATCGCTCTACCAGTTGGTGGACGGTAGAGTCGAACGTCGTAGGAGGTGCCTCCTTAACAGAGCTATCCCCAGTGTCACACCTAATCATAGACGCATCTCTGCAGGTTTGAGGTGCACAGATAGTGTCAGGGCTGTGGTCTGGCGCACAGTGCACATGGCATGTCAACAACCTTGAGTTGGAGGGGCTCATACTAGCGATAACACATTGACAGGAGCACCTTTGAATGGTGTTCTGGGGCCTGCTGCTTGTGAATGGAACAGCACTTTTCTTTCTTCAGCAGGGTCAATCACAGCATCACTACTGTCAAAAGGTAGGCAGTGATGGCATTAAGGAGTAATGTATGACAAGTTTACAAATATTAAAAAAATATCCAGAGTATGATGGAATATTCTACCTTATCTATGTAAAGCTCCATCATTCACGCTTGTCTCCCCCTGCAGGTGGCGCTGACAGCAAGCCAATGGGTGCACCCCGGGAGTTCCCCATGTACCAGAGAGGGCCGCCACAAGCATACCTCGACAGGCTGGCTGCTGATAAGAAAGTTATGGAAGAGGTACGTTGTAATCAGTGTCCGAAATAACAGTCTGCCCGTCTGTCCATGGCTGGTAACTTTTTCGTCGGGCTGCATGAAATTTTCCTTCACCTGCCCAACTATTTGGCAGCAAATTTTAAGCCAACTTATGTATTCAGTAACTCCTTGTAGATTCTCAAGTAATTGTTTGCATTATTTCAACTGAATCAAGATGTGATTTGTCTCTTATTTTTCGCGATATTTCAATGCATATTATGTCTGAATGCAGGCAGGTTGAAGATGGGCAGGCAACATTTATGGGTCCCCTGCCTGACTGTCTTGTTGGAGTTTATGATTATTTCAAACACTGGTTGTAATTCCAGATTCCTGAGCGACTTGAAAACTTGACAGTCAGTGAAGGATTATGTGCCAAAATTACTGCCGCAGATGGCTTTTTTCCATTTGATGTCAGAGTTAAATCAGCATTTTCTATCTGTGTTTTGATTAACAGTCTGGTTCACAAGTGACTACTCAGTGCTTTTTTGTGCTTAGATAATAGAAATCTTTATGACTTTCAGTCCGAGGATGTCGACCTGAATGCTGATCTCCATGGCAACTGGACGCTCGAGAACGCCAAGAGTCGACTTCATCAGTTTTTGCAGCAACATAAGATACACACAGACTACAAATACTCCATGATGGGCCCCGATCACAACCGGTGAGAGTCCCAGGGTTAAACACAAGATACACACAGGCCACAAGTGGGGAGGGTCCCAGGGTTAAACACAAGATACACACAGACCACAAGTGGGGAGGGTCCCAGGGTTAAACACAAGATACACACAGGCCACAAGTGGGGAGGGTCCCAGGGTTAAGCACAAGATACACACAGACCACAAGTGGGTAGGGTCCCAGGGTTAAACACAAGATACACACAGGCCACAAGTGGGGAGGGTCCCAGGGTTAAACACAAGATACACACAGACCACACCCAGTGAGGGTTCCAGGGTTTAACACAAGATACACACAGACCACAAGCCAGTAGGGTCCCAGGGTTAAACACAAGATACACACAGACCACAAGCAGGGAGGGTCCCAGGGTTAAGCACAAGATACACACAGACCACAAGCGGGGAGGGTCCCAGGGTTAAGCACAAGATACACACAGACCACAAGCGGGTAGGTAGGGTCCCAGGGTTAAACACAAGATACACACAGACCACAAGCAGGGAGGGTCCCAGGGTTAAGCACAAGATACACACAGACCACAAGCGGGGAGGGTCCCAGGGTTAAGCACAAGATACACACAGACCACAAGCAGGGAGGGTCCCAGGGTTAAACACAAGATACACACAGACCACAAGCAGGGAGGGTCCCAGGGTTAAACACAAGATACACTCAGACCACAAGCGGGGAGGGTCCCAGGGTTAAACACAAGATACACACAGACCACAAGCAGGGAGGGTCCCAGGGTTAAACACAAGATACACACAGACCACAAGCAGGGAGGGTCCCAGGGTTAAACACAAGATACACTCAGACCACAAGCAGGGAGGGTCCCAGGGTTAAACACAAGATACACACAGACCACAAGCGGGGAGGGTCCCAGGGTTAAACACAAGATAGAAGGTTGATGGACCGACAAGACACAGCCCGGTGCCAGATGAGACTAGTGGCGCCAGATTGTGGACAAACCAATCTGTCTTTTATATCAGCCTCGTGGTCCTATGACCTAAGAGCATATGAGTCAATTCACCAAGTTATGGCAATGCCATGATATCCTGGCTACACTTCAAATAGGTCAAGTTGTGATACAAAACAAAATGAATTTATAATTCTGTTTTCTGAAAGCACGTACAAGAATTTGTTTACTAAACAACATTTTGTCAGCCATTCTCTTGGATGATGGGAGACTGTGTATTGTTCTTGTTAGCATCCTCGGTAATCCAGTGTATTATATCTCCACTCTATTGTGACAAATACCCTGAATCCAATTGCTACCAAGGATTATTTTAGGAAGTGACATCCCTAAATCATCTGTACAAGGGCTGGTCAAAAAGTTCTAAGCCTGACTAACTTTCAGCTGTGGGCCATAACAAAGTGATCTAGTCAATAACAAAGTGATCTAGTCAATAACAAAGTGATCTAGTCAATAACAAAGTGGTCTAGTCAATAACAAAGTGATCTAGTCAATGTAGAACATTGTTTGAGACGTTCATGGCAAGTGTTGAGGCCGTTTGTGTATTAGTCACAGCCAGTTGAACGTGATAGGGGTCCATTTGACACAGTAATAGAAAAGAACGAGTATCTACCAGTCATCAAGTTTTTGACAAGAACTTGATGACCACAAGTGTATCGAAATAAGTGCTTCATTGTCAATATAAGAAGTGTATTGAGAAGCATTCAGATTATGTTTAAAAATAAAATTAAAAACATTTTCACAATTTTTGGTTTTGTTAGGCTTAGAACTTTTTGACCAACCCTTGTACTCAAAAGCCACAGTAGCGAATGGGTTCATCGTCATAGAAATCTCCTTACTAATAGAACAGAGAAGTAATGCACTGGATAATCGAGGATGATCCTATGTAATGGTGTGTCGGCCGTCCAGCGATTGATGCCTTGGTCATTGCTGGGATCATGGAAAAACAACCTTCATCATTTGTGGTACTGTTGCTGATAGAGAATCAGCCGTGTACCACGCACAGAGGTGTGTTCAGCAATACACCAATCAAATTAATCAAAAGCATCTCAAATTGTTGAGTAAACTTCAGAAAAATACCCAGGAAACAGTATTATTCTTGAAATTATTTACTTAAAAAGTAACATTAAGATTTTGATGTACCAGCTGATATACAGGAATTGATTTTAATAAACATTATTACATCGTTTAATGCAACTGAAAAACAGTGGAATCGGTGAAATAGCTGAAGTTTTGATGATCAGGTACCGTTCTTTGAGTGATGCTGTTGTTAGGATGCGTAGGCTGATGACATAGCTTGATCAGTGACGTCACTGGCGGGGCTATGGATGGAGCTCTCTGACTGGTGTGTTGCTCAGCATTCTTGAGGTTGTTTCTCCATGATCTAGGGCCCAGTGGTGGGGGACGCTCGGGACCATCTTCTTGAGTCAGGAAACTAACTGACAGGTGAGTGTCATGTATTATCATGAAACATCCCCAGGTTAGAAAGGGACCCCAGAAACTATGCTTGTTGTAAGAGGCGAGTAAATAGATCGGTTGGTCAGACTCTGTGACTTTGTTGATGGTGTGGCATTGTACCCCGATAGCATGGATCATTGTTCCCAGTTTCAATCACTGGATTGTCTAATCCGGACTTGATTTTTTTACAGGCCTATGTCAAATCGCTGAATATTGCTGAGTGTGGCATCAAACAAAAACCAACCAAACAAATAGATCCTTAAATAATTGTGTTGCTATTTGTGATCTGTTACTTGTGTAAGCTTGATGTATACTGTATTCGACGTAATAAGCGTCCAGGGCGCTCTCAAAATTAGAAATAGGGGGCTCTTATTAGAATATTATTTTGGTGAAAAAGAACAGAGTTGAAAGATAAATTTCGTGGTTTATGCTGACAGTCTGAACTGTTTATATACCACAGATACATTTTTCCAGAATTTAATTGCCCATAATTAAGGATGCATATAACACACGAGTGCATATTATACACAAATAAATAAGTCCTGTGTACATTGATAAATCGGAAGGGGTGCTAATTGGGATTGTTCACTTGCCAATACATTAGCAAATATCGCTGTGGGCGCTTATTACGTTGAATACGGTATTTCATTATGTCTTCATTCTTTCTTTTAACCTCAGAAAAATTTATACTGATGTTTATATTGTAAAACATACGTCATATTTCTGTCAATTTGCATCCACGATATATTTTATTAGGATGTCATCCAGATATTGGTGTATACAGACAACACCACTCTGACTGACGAACCTGATGGTGTGTACATTAATACTGATCTAAAGGTCTTCTGTAACTCTGTCAAATGGTGTGTCATATTCTGTATGTTACACACCTGACTTTGTGCTGGGGGATGCACTGTTCTGTGTCACACACCTGACTTTGTGCCGGGGGATGCACCATTCTGTGTGTCACACACCTGACTTTGTGCCGGGGGATGCACTATTCTGTGTCACACACCTGACTTGGTGCCGGGGGATGCACTATTCTGTGTGTCACACACCTGACTTTGTGCCGGGGGATGCACTATTCTGTGTCACACACCTGACTTGGTGTTGGGGGATGCACTATTCTGTGTGTCACACACCTGACTTTGTGCTGGGGGATGCACTATTCTGTGTGTCACACACCTGACTTGGTGCCGGGGGATGCACTATTCTGTGTCACACACCTGACTTTGTGCCGGGGGATGCACTATTCTGTGTGTCACACACCTGACTTGGTGTTGGGGGATGCACTATTCTGTGTGTCACACACCTGACTTGGTGTTGGGGGATGCACTATTCTGTGTGTCACACACCTGACTTGGTGCCGGGGGATGCACTATTCTGTGTGTCACACACCTGACTTGGTGCCGGGGGATGCACTATTCTGTGTGTCACACACCTGACTTTGTGCCAGGTGATGCACTATTCTGTGTGTCACACACCTGACTTTGTGCCAGGGGATGCACTATTCTGTGTGTCACACACCTGACTTGGTGCTGGGGGATGCACTATTCTGTGTGTCACACACCTGACTTGGTGCCGGGGGATGCACTATTCTGTGTGTCACACACCTGACTTGGTGCCGGGGGATGCACTATTCTGTGTGTCACACACCTGACTTTGTGCCGGGGGATGCACTATTCTGTGTGTCACACACCTGACTTGGTGCCGGGGGATGCACTATTCTCTGTGTCACACACCTGACTTTGTGCCGGGGGATGCACTATTCTGTGTCACACACCTGACTTGGTGCTGGGGGATGCACTATTCTGTATGTCACACACCTGACTTTGTGCCGGGGATGCACTATTCTGTGTGTCACACACCTGACTTTGTGCCAGGTGATGCACTATTCTGTGTGTCACACACCTGACTTTGTGCCAGGGGATGCACTATTCTGTGTGTCACACACCTGACTTTGTGCCAGGGGATGCACTATTCTGTGTGTCACACACCTGACTTGGTGCTGGGGGATGCACTATTCTGTGTGTCACACACCTGACTTTGTGCCGGGGGATGCACTATTCTGTGTCACACACCTGACTTTGTGCCGGGGGATGCACTATTCTGTGTGTCACACACCTGACTTGGTGCCGGGGGATGCACTATTCTGTGTTACACACCTGACTTGGTGCCGGGGGATGCACTATTCTGTGTGTCACACACCTGTCTTGGTGCCGGGGGATGCACTATTCTGTGTGTCACACACCTGACTTTGTGCCGGGGGATGCACTATTCTGTATGTCACACACCTGACTTTGTGCCGGGGGATGCACTATTCTGTGTGTCACACACCTGACTTTGTGCCAGGGGATGCACTATTCTGTGTGTCACACACCTGACTTTGTGCCGGGGGATGCACTATTCTGTGTGTTACACACCTGACTTTGTGCCGGGGGATGCACTATTCTGTGTGTCACACACCTGACTTTGTGCCGGGGGATGCACTATTCTGTGTGTCACACACCTGACTTGGTGCCGGGGGATGCACTATTCTGTGTGTCACACACCTGACTTGGTGCCGGGGGATGCACTATTCTGTGTCACACACCTGACTTTGTGCCGGGGATGCACTATTCTGTGTGTCACACACCTGACTTTGTGCCGGGGGATGCACTATTCTGTGTGTTACACACCTGACTTTGTGCCGGGGGATGCACTATTCTGTGTGTTACACACCTGACTTGGTGCCGGGGGATGCACTATTCTGTGTTACACACCTGACTTTCTGCCGGGGGATGCACTATTCTGTGTGTTACACACCTGACTTTGTGCCGGGGGATGCACTATTCTGTGTGTTACACACCTGACTTTGTGCCGGGGGATGCACTATTCTGTGTTACACACCTGACTTTGTGCCGGGGGATGCACTATTCTGTGTGTTACACACCTGACTTTGTGCCGGGGGATGCACTATTCTGTGTGTTACACACCTGACTTGGTGCCGGGGGATGCACTATTCTGTGTCACACACCTGACTTGGTGCCGGGGGATGCACTATTCTGTGTGTCACACACCTGACTTTGTGCCGGGGGATGCACTATTCTATGTGTTACACACCTGACTTGGTGCCGGGGGATGCACTATTCTGTGTCACACACCTGACTTTGTGCCGGGGGATGCACTATTCTGTGTGTTACACACCTGACTTTGTGCCGGGGGATGCACTATTCTGTGTGTTACACACCTGACTTGGTGCCGGGGGATGCACTATTCTGTGTTACACACCTGACTTTGTGCCGGGGGATGCACTATTCTGTGTGTTACACACCTGACTTGGTGCCGGGGGATGCACTATTCTGTGTGTCACACACCTGACTTGGTGCCGGGGGATGCACTATTCTGTGTGTTACACACCTGACTTGGTGCCGGGGGATGCACTATTCTGTGTGTTACACACCTGACTTGGTGTTGGGGGATGCACTATTCTGTGTGTCACACACCTGACTTTGTGCCGGGGGATCCACTATTCTGTGTGTCACACACCTGACTTTGTGCCGGGGGATGCACTATTCTGTGTGTTACACACCTGACTTGGTGCCGGGGGATGCACTATTCTGTGTTACACACCTGACTTTGTGCCGGGGGATGCACTATTCTGTGTGTCACACACCTGACTTGGTGCCGGGGGATGCACTATTCTGTGTGTTACACACCTGACTTTGTGCCGGGGGATGCACTATTCTGTGTGTTACACACCTGACTTGGTGCCGGGGGATGCACTATTCTGTGTTACACACCTGACTTTGTGCCGGGGGATGCACTATTCTGTGTGTTACACACCTGACTTGGTGCCGGGGGATGCACTATTCTGTGTGTCACACACCTGACTTGGTGCCGGGGGATGCACTATTCTGTGTGTTACACACCTGACTTGGTGCCGGGGGATGCACTATTCTGTGTTACACACCTGACTTTGTGCCGGGGGATGCACTATTCTGTGTGTTACACACCTGACTTGGTGCCGGGGGATGCACTATTCTGTGTGTTACACACCTGACTTGGTGCCGGGGGATGCACTATTCTGTGTTACACACCTGACTTTGTGCCGGGGGATGCACTATTCTGTGTGTTACACACCTGACTTGGTGCCGGGGGATGCACTATTCTGTGTGTTACACACCTGACTTTGTGCCGGGGGATGCACTATTCTGTGTGTTACACACCTGACTTGGTGCCGGGGGATGCACTATTCTGTGTGTCACACACCTGACTTGGTGCCGGGGGATGCACTATTCTGTGTGTTACACACCTGACTTTGTGCCGGGGGATGCACTATTCTGTGTGTTACACACCTGACTTGGTGCCGGGGGATGCACTATTCTGTGTCACACACCTGACTTGGTGCCGGGGGATGCACTAACTGACTGTTTGCTTGTGTTGTAGGAGTTTCATGGCTGAGATGAACTTCTATGTGAAGAAAATGAACACAAGTAAGTCGCTAGTGGCTGTTGGCAATGGAGGGATTGATGGGGACTCTTCCTGTATGAGGGGAAATATTAAAGTGTTATGATGGGCAATATTAAAGTGTTATGATGGGCAATATTAAAGTGTTATGATTGGCAATATTAACGTGTTATGATGGGCAATATTAAAGTGTTATCAAGGGCAATATTAAAGTGTTATGATGGGCAATATTAAAGTGTTATGATTGGCAATATTAAAGTGTTATGATGGGCAATATTAAAGTGTTATGATGGGCAATATTAAAGTGTTATGATTGGCAATATTAAAGTGTTATGATGGGCAATATTAACGTGTCATGATGGGCAATATTGAAGTGTTATGATGGGCAATATTAAAGTGTTGTGATGGGAAATATTAAAGAGTTATGGTGGGAAATATCAAAGTGTTATGGGCAATATTAAAGTGTTATGCTGGGAAATATTAAAGAGTTTTGCCTGGAAATATTCAAGTGTTATGCTGGGAGATATTCCTGAATGCTGGGAAAATATTTATATATGTGTTAATATGGGAAAAATTATAATGTTATAATGAGATGTTCCTGTATAATGGGAAATATTAAAGGTTTATGTATATTCCTGTATGATGGGAAAGATTTGAGTCAATTTTCGATATGGCTACAATGTGTGAAGCAAACTTTCGATGAAATGTTGCTGAGATAGGGCTTTGGATCCCGAGCATTCCAAATTGACATGAAGCTTGTTGTTCCCAGACATCCATGCACAAGAACATGGATCTAACAAGCAGGTGGCCTCCAAGTCCTGCGCTCTGTCCCTCGTCCGACAACTCTATCACATGAACGTCATCGAGCCTTACACAGGTCTGAAGAAGAAGAAGGATTCGGAACAGGTGTGTTGGAGGTGGTCAGTCTGACCAACATTTTGAAAGCCACGTCCAGTGACTGATTGTCTGTCTGTCTGTCTGTCTGTCTGTCTGTCTGTATATCCTGTAACTGAGAAGGAATTGTATGTGTAGTCTAAAAAAGTAGTGGAAACTTTCACTAATTCAATGTTGAAAGTCCTAACTTTGGTCACTTGTTATGGAAACAAGGAAAATTGTATTGAGCTGAATCTTACATCAACAAACTAGTGTATATTTGGTGTGTTTTTATTTATAATCTGGTGTTTTGTTGTATCAAAGTAAAGATAAGATACACAGATGAAGAACTTCTTTCTTACAATTAAGAGGGACATTTTTGTGTAGGTTCTATCACTGTTATTACACACTTGCTCGTTATCGAGCAAGTGTTTGCTAACAGTGTTTGAACCTACACCGAAAAGTTGTTGATCCATATATCTTATCCTAACTTTGTACTCCAACTTCTAAATGTCCCTCAAAGAAGTTATTGTATCATTGGTACAATGTGTGAATAGGTACAATGTGTGAAGCTCATTTCTGGTGTCCCCGTGATATTGCTGGAGTATTGCTAAAAGCGGAGTAAGACCATACTCACTCACTCACTCACTCACTCACAATGTGTGAAGCCCATTTCTGGTGTCCCCCGCCGTGATATTGCTGGAGTATTGCTAAAAGGGGTGTTTCACCATACTCACTCATTATTGTTGTATCAAGATCAAATCTACTCAAAAACTATTTAATGGTCACTGGTATTTGCCTGAATAACAATACCTTAGTCAATATGTTTGAGATCAGTGCTTTTTATTGAGGTTGAACAAGGTACAGTCTCTTGAAATGACTACAAAGAAATGAAACGGCAACCAACTTGATGTTTCAATAAAAATCATGAACCTACTCTACTACTTTAGCTTTAAAGGGCAAGTAAAGTGGAAAAAATGATTGCGATTTTGTTGCGAATATCAATATCAACTGAACATGCTGAAGGCATCTTCAATGTTGTTACTATATGTTGTGATAAAAGTTATGGACATGCAAATTAAATGGATGAGCCAATTAAAAAGGCTGAGGCAGACAGGGAGGTGGCACAATCATCATGATCATTAAAATTGTACTTGCCCAAAACCGGGAAACAGTTTTTTACACCAGTAAAGGGAATCCCGACAGAGACAGAATTTTTCATTTGGCCATGTTGGCGGAGGATTTTGTCTGTCAGTTTTTTTGTCTGTTTTAGGCTATTTTTGTTTTTCAAATTTAATTTTGGTCCAGCATTTATGAATATGTATGTGCTAAAATATTGAAATTTGCAAAGTGGCTCTGCCCTTTAAGAGTAATTTTGGTTGTAAGAGAATATACTATCAGTTGTTTGAATGATGCCAAGTATGTCATAATAAAAGATGGTACTTGTTGTTACCCTACCTGGACTTTGGCTTTAAAGCGTTAAAACAAGGACTGGTTTCATGGAAGTCAGTATAATTTGTTTGAGTATCAGTATATTAATTCTAAATGTTCCAAAAATGACACCCCAAGACAAAATGTATAGAAATCAGAATAAAACCTCGGGGCCATGATGAAACAAAGAGGTATTTATTGAGTGTAGTTAAGCACATGGTTTCGGTACTATTGTGGTAAATGTGGTTTTGTGAATCTGTCTCTTTGTTCTGAGAACAGTGAAAAACGGTTGTTGTTGTTGTTGTTGTTGGTGTAGTTGGAGCCTTATGATGTTGCTGTCAGCCCCGAGTTACAGACCCAGATCATGCAGGTGCTGGACAAATGGGGTATTCAGCCAGTTCCCAGGGTGAGTGGGTTTTCTGTGTGTTCACCATGACAGCCATGTTTCTTAGGGTTTAGGGGTGGTCGGGTAGCCTAGTGGTTAAAGCGTTTGCTTGTCACGCTGAAGACCCAGGTTCGATTCCCGACATGGGTACAATGTGTGGAGCCCATTTCTGGTGTCCCCCGCCGTGACGTTGCTGGAATATTGCTAAAAGCGGCTTAAAACCAAACTCACTCACTCACTCTTAGGGTTTATATTTTTCACTTCCATTTTGAGTCGAAAGCTTCATACTTGTTTAGGATATTTCACTTTGTATAAGGACAGGCCTTATTTTCTATTGTACACACAAGTCAATCCTAAATTTGGAAAATTTGAAAAAGATTCAGGTGCTGTGTTTGATTAGGATTCATTGTCATTTTTCAAAATATTGAATCAGGTCAGTCTGAAATACAGAGGGGACCCGTGAAGATTCCGGAGTAAAATAGGTCTTCAGCAACCCATGCTTGCCGTAAAAGGTGACTATGCTTGTCGTAAAGGCAACTAACGGGATCGGGTGGTCAGGCTCGCTGACTTGGTTGATGCATGTCATCGATCCCAAATGTGTGGATCGATGCTCATGATATTAATTACTGGATTGTCTGGTCCAGACTCGATTATTTACAGACCGCGGTCATATAGCTGGAATATTGCTGAGTGCGGCGTTAAACAGCAAACCAATCAACCAACCAAATACAGAAGGAAAAGTCTTGTATGTATCAATCCATTTAGATGACGATACATCACCCAAAAATTCTGTAAGAGGTTAGTGCCTGGGAGTGGTAAAGCAGTAGGACATGATGTAGTTGCTGATGTCTTCAATGATATTTTGTCAGCCTCATCAACCCCCTCTACCAGCGGAGGATGGCTCGGTCCCTCCCGTGTCCCTCCTTTCTCATGTCTCCCTGGATGAGTTTGAGCCTGCCCCCAAGCGGAGCACCCCGGGGGTGGTGCCCTGGTCCCCACCCCAGTCGAACTGGAACCCCTGGACCAACTGCAACATAGACGAGGGACCACTAGCAATGGTGAGACACTGGTTGAAAGTTAGGACCGCTAGCAATGGTGAGACACGGGTTGAAAGTTAGGACCTCTAGCAATGGTGAGACACTGGTTGAAAGTTAGGACCACTAGCAATGGTGAGACACTGGTTGAAAGTTAGGACCTCTAGCAATGGTGAGACACTGGTTGAAAGTTAGGACCACTAGTAATGGTGAGACACTGGTTGAAAGTTAGGACCACTAGCAATGGTGAGACACTGGTTGAAAGTTAGGACCACTAGTAATGGTGAGACACTGGTTGAAAGTTAGGACCGCTAGCAGTGGTGAGACACTGGTTGAAAGTTAGGACCTCTAGCAATGGTGAGACACTGGTTGAAAGTTAGGACCACTAGCAATGGTGAGACACTGGTTGAAAGTTAGGACCGCTAGCTATGGTAAGACACAGGCTGAAAGTTAGGACTGCTAGCAATGGTGAGACACTGGTTGAAAGTTAGGACCACTAGTAATGGTGAGACACTGGTTGAAAGTTAGGACCGCTAGAAATGGTGAGACACTGGTTGAAAGTTAGGAATGCTAGCTATGGTGAGACACTGGTTGAAAGTTAGGACAGCCAGCAATGGCGAGACACTGGTTGAAAGTTAGGACTGCTAGCAATGGTGAGACACTGGTTGAAAGTTAGGACCGCTAGCAATGGTGAGACACTGGTTGAAAGTTAGGACCGCTAGCGATGGTAAGACACTGGTTGAAAGTTAGGACCACTAGCAATGGTGAGACACTGGTTGAAAGTTAGGACCGCCAGCAATGATGAGACACTGGTTGAAAGTTAGGACCGCCAGCAATGGTGAGACACTGGTTGAAAGTTAGGACCGCTAGCGATGGTAAGACACAGGCTGAAAGTTAGGACTGCTAGCAATGGTGAGACACTGGTTGAAAGTTAGGACCACTAGTAATGGTGAGACACTGGTTGAAAGTTAGGACCGCTAGAAATGGTGAGACACTGGTTGAAAGTTAGGAATGCTAGCTATGGTGAGACACTGGTTGAAAGTTAGGACAGCCAGCAATGGCGAGACACTGGTTGAAAGTTAGGACTGCTAGCAATGGTGAGACACTGGTTGAAAGTTAGGACCGCTAGCAATGGTGAGACACTGGTTGAAAGTTAGGACCGCTAGCGATGGTAAGACACTGGTTGAAAGTTAGGACCACTAGCAATGGTGAGACACTGGTTGAAAGTTAGGACCGCCAGCAATGATGAGACACTGGTTGAAAGTTAGGACCACTAGCTATGGTAAGACACTGGTTGAAAGTTAGGACCACTAGCAATGGTGAGACACTGGTTGAAAGTTAGGACCGCCAGCAATGGTGAGACACTGGTTGAAAGTTAGGACCGCTAGCGATGGTAAGACACTGGTTGAAAGTTAGGACCACTAGCAATGGTGAGACACTGTTTGAAAGTTAGGACCGCCAGCAATGGTGAGACACTGGTTGAAAGTTAGGACCACTAGCAATGGTGAGACACTGTTTGAAAGTTAGGACCGCCAGCAATGGTGAGACACTGGTTGAAAGTTAGGACCACTAGCAATGGTGAGACACTGTTTGAAAGTTAGGACCACTAGCAATGGTGAGACACTGTTTGAAAGTTAGGACCGCCAGCAATGGTGAGACACTGGTTGAAAGTTAGGACCACTAGCAATGGTGAGACACTGTTTGAAAGTTAGGACCGCCAGCAATGGTGAGACACTGGTTGAAAGTTAGGACCACTAGCAATGGTGAGACACTGTTTGAAAGTTAGGACCGCCAGCAATGGTGAGACACTGGTTGAAAGTTAGGACCGCCAGCAATGGTGAGACACTGGTTGAAAGTTAGGACCACTAGCAATGGTGAGACACTGTTTGAAAGTTAGGACCGCCAGCAATGGTGAGACACTGGTTGAAAGTTAGGACCGCCAGCAATGGTGAGACACTGGTTGAAAGTTAGGACCACTAGCAATGGTGAGACACTGGTTGAAAGTTAGGACCGCCAGCAATGGTGAGACACTGGTTGAAAGTTAGGACCACTAGCAATGGTGAGACACTGGTTGAAAGTTAGGACCACCAGCAATGGTGAGACACTGGCTGATAGTTAGAACCGCCAGCAATGGTGAGACACTGGTTGAAAGTTAGGACCACTAGCAATGGTGAGACACGGGTTGAAAGTGGTTCTACTATGTCCTACCTTGAAGAGCTATAGAACAAAATTGTTGAATGTACGTCCTATCGCACCGACATATCATCAAGTCAGTCCGATTTACCTCGTTTTGCACATGCTCAGACTTGCGTTCCAGCTATCTGTTCAAGCTTAACATGTCTTCAAACCATGAGTTTTAATATGACGTTTTACGAGAATTAACACAAATTCAAAATTCATGTGACTTCCATTGACTCATTGAATGCGGCTTTTTGCTTGAAAGCGGGGTATAAGGGTATTAGTCTGCCTCTCAGAAATACATGTGTGGCCTGCATTGCTCGTGGCGGGGTATAAGTGATTTATTCCCCGACTCAGAAATTTATTCCCTCCAAGATGGGTTGCACTGTATTTTATCAAGATCACATAGACCAATCAGATCTCATCATTATGACATGGAGATATAAGACGTATTTCATGCCAGCTGTATAAATGTTGTGTACATTTGCCAGGCCAGTCTGGAGCAAGTGAGTCAGGACCTTTACACCTCCCTGGAGGACCAGCGAAACCGTGACGAGCAGCTTCAGAGGGTACGTAGAGTCGGATGTTTTGTTCAAACTTTTCATAGACTAGTACAAGCAGCCACGCACACACATTGCTCAAGTAATTTGATCACGTCAGACATTCATGTCTTGGTTGTTGACATGTTTTGTAGATGATGTCCGATCGGTCGAAGCTGCCGGTGTTCGAGTCCCACGACTACATCCTCCAGACGATACAGCGAAGCCCTGTGACACTCATCCGGGGGGAGACTGGGTGTGGTAAGACTACACAGGTGGGTGGAAAGACAGCAGACCTGTCACTCATCTGGAGGAGATCCAGGGTAGAGTAGGTCTTCATCAATCCATGCTTACCGTAAAAGACGACTATGCTTGTCGTAAGAGGCGAGTATGGTCAGGCTGATCCCAATTGCGTGGAACGATGCTCGTGATGTCAATCACTGGATTGTCTGGCCCAGACTCGATTATTTACAGACCACCGTCAGATAGCAGGAATATTGCTGTGCAAACAAACAAACAGCTGGGGGGAAATTGAGGAGAGGGACCTGTCACTTATCTGGATCAGGTGATCAGGTGATCAGAGACTTGGTTCTTGGTTGATGTTGGGTCGGGGTACCCCGACGATGTGGATACTTGTTCACAATAAACATCATTGGATTGTCTGGTCCAGACTCAATTATTGACAGTCTGCCGTCATCATGTAGCTGAAATATTGCTGAGTGAAATGTTAAACAACAAACAAACAAACAACATGTAACATGTTTCAGTGTGGGGCTGGAGGGAATCCCTAAAACCTGTCCCGAGTCATTCTTGCTGCACATGGTCACGCACCCACCACGACCATTGTTGCATAACCTCATCTGACTTTTGACCACATGTCGGCAATATATAACAATTATTGGGGCAAATGCCCCCCAAAACAAAAAGTCCTATTCCCTACCAGTGTCCCTACCTCACTCAGATTCCGAGTTATGATTGGTCCTCAGCAACCCATTCTTGCCTTAAACAACAAACAAACTATGCTTGTCGTAAGAGGCGACTATGCTTGTCTTAAGAGGCGGCTATCGGGATTGGGTTGTCAGGTTCGCTAACTTGTTTGATGCCTGTCAACGTATCCCAATTGTGTAGATCGATGTGCATGATGTCAGTCACTGGATTGTCTGGTCCAGACTCGATTGTTTGCAGACTGACGTCATATAGCTGGAATATTGCTGAGTGTGGCGTTAAACAACAAACAACCTTCACTCACTCACTCACAAATATGATGTTGACGTATCAGGTGCCGCAGTTCATCTTGGACCAGATGGTGAACGAGGGTCGCGGTGCCGATTGTGGCATCTTCGTCACACAGCCCAGGAGGTTGAGTGCCGTGTCTATTGCAGAGCGAGTCGCCAACGAGAGATGTGAGAACCTTGGCGTGTCTGTTGGATACAGTGTCAGATTTGAGTCTGTCCTGCCTCGACCGTATGGAGCTCTGCTGTACTGTACCGTTGGTGAGTATCACTGGTACACCCTGGTGCTCAGGGTTAAAGGAATAGAACAAGGACTGGTCGGCTCAGAGTCAGTACACTGTGTCTGAGTGGTGTATCTACTATAAAACCAATATGGGCCCTGACCAGTACATACAGCCACGCACAAGTGCATGCACGTCCCTATGCACGTCACCCCTATCTTAGTACCCAGTAAAAATTCTTTTCCAGCTTATATAACTTTAAGTTTTCTAAATTTTAATACATATGTCAAGGGTACATCCGGACGAGGCCACTATTTTGAATGTCGATCTGTTCCAAACTCACATTCAATGAGGCATTTTGATTGGTTGATGATTTCACTGAGAGGAATTCTGTGCAAAGTTTAATATTGATAGCAGAGATGGCAGTGGTGACATCACTTCTGAAACAAAGATAGGGTGGTGATCGGGCCCATGGTATTCATCATAACAGAATGGAGATATGATCCACTGGATAATCACGAATGCTTGAATGTCACTCAGCTCCTGTCTATGTATTGTTAGACTTGTTGGAAACCTGAAATAATGTTGAAAAAAATTGCATGAAGACTCTGTAAGATTGATACAATGTACTGCATGACTTGATGTATAATGATGTTGTTGACTTGTCCAGGAACGCTGCTGAGGAGGCTGGAAGGAGGATTGAGGGGCGTGTCTCATGTCATCGTTGATGAAATCCACGAGAGAGATATCAATGTATGTAGCTTGTTGTAATGGTTATTTTCTCATGTAATCATACACTGTTTCAATATCTAACACAAAAAAGGAAGCATGACTTTGCTGTTAATTTTACTTGTCGAAATGCTTTGCTTGAACATTAAGCTGACATACAATGATATGAGTGAAGGCGACATAAATCACTTCTCAATAACTGTTAACAACATGTAATGTTCTCCCACCCACCTATTCACTCACTTGGGGGCACGGGTGGCCCAGTCGTCTAAGGCACCGCGATTCGCTGTGCAGAGTTGCTTCCCTTGGGTATGCCAGAAACCTATGACTGTGGGTTTGAATCCCAGGTCGCCCTGATTATGTTTCTAGGTTTGTCAGCACCATACCCCTGCTCGTGGGTTTCACTGAAGTGGTAAACGTCTGAGACCTGCATCATCTCAGGCTTTCCTCCCACATGAAGCTGACACGCCGTGATATAACTGGAATACTGTTAAAAGCGACATTAAACCCCACTCACTCACTCACTCACTCACACTCACTCACTCACTCACTCACTCACTCACTCACTCACTCACTCACTCACTCACTCACTCACTCACTCACTCACTCACTCACTCACTTTCCAGCCCCTGACAGAACTGGTCCCCAGTACCCATACTTTTTTAAATATTTCAAGTATTTCAAATATTTTTTAACTTACCCTGCATTACTCCGTATTGCAGTGACTTGGTTCATTGCATGTCATCATACCCTGTTGGCATGGAGTGTTGGTCATAATATCATGAGCTGGGTTGTCAGCCCCTGACTCTGTCATTTAGAGACCGCTGCAACATGGCAGGGATATTGGAACTTTGAAGTGAAACACTGACTGCCTCTGTATTGCAGACTGACTTCCTGCTTGTGCTACTGAGGGACATGGTGCGAACCTACCCTGAGCTTCGCGTAGTGTTGATGTCGGCAACTGTGGACACGTCGCTATTCCAGGACTACTTCGGAGACTGCGAAGTAGTGGAAGTGTACGGACGGGTCTTCCCGGTGCAAGGTCAGAACTAGGTCATACTTGGTTCAAGGTCAGAATTAGGTCATACTTGGTGCAAGGTCAGAATTAGGTCATACTTGGTTGAAGGTCAGAACTAGGCCATACTTGGTGCAAGGTCAGAACTAGGCCATACTTGGTGCAAGGTCAGAACTAGGTCATACTTGGTGCAAGGTCAGAACTAGGTCATACTTGGGGCAAGGTCAGAAGTAGTTCATACTTGGTGCAAGGTCAGAGCTAGGTCATACTTGGTGCAAGGTCAGAACTAGGTCATACTTGGGGCAAGCCAGAACTAGATCAAAATGGGTGCATGGTCAAGACTAGGTCATACTTGGTGCAAGGTCAGAACTAGGTCATACTTGAGGCAATGTCAGAACTAGATCAAAATGGGTGCATTGTCAGGACGAGGTCATACTTGGTGCAAGGTCAGCACTAGATCAAAATGAGTGCATGGTCAGAACGAGGTCATACTTGGTACATGGTCAGAACGAGGTCATACTTGGTGCACCTGAGGAATAACTTGACCTGCATGAATAATTATGGTTGTCCCCTCGTTTCCGACCCATGAGGATTAGTGTTTCTCATCACCATGGTTACAGTAAAAGCTGACCTGTGTGAACTCTGGGTGGTCAAAGTGCCAGACTTGGCTGATTGTCCTTGTACCCAGTTGTCATGAGCTGATGCTCATGCCATCAACCACCAGTATTAACAGGCTGCTGTCCTCATGGACATCCCAGTTAACCACTTCCTAACGTGGGGCTGTCAGGTAGCCTAGTGGTTAAAGCGTTAGCTCGTCACGCCGAAGACCCGGGTTCGAGTCCCGACATGGGTACAATGTGTGAAGCCCATTTCTGGTGTCCCCCGCCGTGATATTGCTGGAATATGGCTAAAAGCGGTGTAAAACCATACTCAGACAGACAGACTTCCTGACTTAATTTACTCCATGTATGTACAGCTTGATGATTGATTGTCGTGTCATGTGAGGCCCTCCCCTGCTTCTGTACAGAGTATTACCTGGAGGACTGCATCCAGATGCTCAACTTCGTCCCGCCCCCGAATGACAGGAAGAGAAAGAAAGGAGGAGGAGGAGGAGGGGGGGACGACCTCCCTGGAGATGAAGAGCAAGAGGTTAGGTTCTACGAGTACATGGGTTGGAAGGCCAGCATGTAAATGTGTTTCTTGTTTCTGACAGGGCTCCTGATTTGGAGCCCTTGACCGTAGCTTTTATCACTATCCTGGTATTGTCAGTGGCGTAAATAGTGTGTGCTTCACTGTACATGCTACAGATTAACCAGACATTTGAAATATTTGGATGAAATTCTAAAAACAATCATTTTTGACCATGTTTACAAAATAAACATGTATAGCAATTTACTACTTGTATTACATTAAGTAATACGTTACCACTGTTATACCGAGGCTGTTGTCTCCCACAACTGCTGCTATAGCAAAATCTACCACAGAGATCTCAATTACCTCATGCAGCACGTGCGTAGCCACCTAGCTGCCATGTGACACCCTTCACTCTTGTCTCCTTCGTCTGCTTAGCACCCCGCCGTGATATTGCTGGAATATTGCTAAAAGCGGCGTAAAACCATACTCACTCACTCACTCTGCTTAGCAAGACGTGTTTTCTCCTGCTGAAGCGTTCCTTGAAGATTTGGTGATATTTATTATAGTTTATTCTCTAATAAACTGTGCTTTTAATGGGGCGTTGCGGTAGCTACGCTTGGTTATAATTTTCCCGCCAAACGGAAATTTTTTTCCGCCCTTTTTTCTATATACTTGCGGGGTTCGCGTATGCACGTTGTGTTTTACGTTTCCCCTGTTCTTGTATGTTTTGGGGGTTAACATAACTTATTTCTTTAATAAAAGTTATATGTGTATGTTATATGTTCACATTGCTCGTTTATTTTCTTGTGAAAATGCTCGTTTGTGAATCATTGTGGTGCGTGCGTTGTAACCATGTTTTGTTCTTTGTTTATAGCAAACAATTAATGTCTGACATGGATATGTCCCCAGTATCCACCCCCTCTACCCCTGCTCCTCGGAGTTGTGGGGTGTGCAGAAAGTTTTTGTCTTCCCGGGATCCCCACGATCGTTGCCCGCGGTGCAGGGTTCCTTGCGGGGACACCCGGTGCATCCTGTGCGAAGGTCTGGGGCCTGCGGAGTTTGAGCGGTACCGGCTGTACGTACAGTCCGTCTCCACCCCTGTGGTGGCCGGTTCGTCCGGTCGGGGTCCCCGTGCGGGTACCACCTCCTCGGCTGCGGCGGATCCCCTTGCGGCCCTCGGGCTGTCTGGGGATTCCGTCGCCGCATTATTGTCGAAACTTGTGGACTCCAAGCTGGCGGCCTTATCGCAAGATAGGCCGCTGGCTGTTCCGTCCCCAGCCTCTTCGGTGGCCGCGGGTTCGGACGCGGGGTCCACCGGTACGCCTGCGGCTGCCGTGGTTACCGGTCCTTCCCCTGAACCGTTGCTTCCGCTATCGGTTAAGGACCGCGTGGCCATGGTGTATGACCTCTTCGAGGACATGCCAAAGCCCCTGCCGATACCGCGGGGAATCCACGGTTCCGTGGGTTCCTCCGAGGTATACGATGAGGCGTCCGACAAGGCTTTCCCGGCATCAACCTTGCTGCGCGGGATTAAGCCTTCTTTGGAGAAGGCCTTCACGGATGCCTCCGGTCGGGGTCTCCCGTTACCTCCCCCGTCGTGGAGAAAAGGGTCTTTCCCAGTACATGACCTTGCCTTTCCCGAGGCTGGTCCTTCTGCGGAAGCCCATGTGGAGCGTTTGGGGGTCCGTGCCCCACCGGTTGCCTCGGTACCTCAAGGTACCCTGCAACAGCTGGACACCCTGCTGGCAATGTCTCACGGAGACACATACCTGGCTGCAGCGGCCAGTCTGGTCGAAGGTTCTCCCACGGACCGAGACCAGCGCATTTACAACTGCTTGCTCGGTTTGAATGCTTCCCTGGAGTACGTTGCCGGGGCTTCGGCCTTTGTTTCCGGCACGTGCCATTTTCTTCGGCGCCAGTCGTATCTGGTTGCTTCAGGGTTGGACGCTGCCAATCAGGAGGTGCTCCTTTCGCAGCCTTGGTCTGCTCGGACCCTGTTTAATAACAAGATCCCTGGGGTTCTGAAGGAACAACAGGCCGCTGTGTCTGCCGAGGCCTCTCGGCACACACTGGATCTTGTGGGGTCCTTGCATAGGCGCCTGGGTGCCGCTCCGAAGCGGAGCGCGCCCCAGGATGCTGCGTCCGGCAGGCCTAAGGGGTCGGGTCCTTCTTCCTCCGGGAAGAAGCCCCGCTCTGAGGGCTCCGGTAAGGGTTCTCAGCAGCCCTTTTGCGGGAAGAAGGGGAACTGGGGGAAGCCCAAGTCGTCTAAGGACGGCAAGGGCCCCTCCAGGTGACTCTCATTGGAGGGGTTCGTGTGCCGACAGCGCCAACTTCGGTTGGCCCGTAGGCGAACCCGAGTCACTTGGCCCTGGACAGTTGCACCTGCCGCAGCCCGTCCGGCCCCCCTCTCTTTCCCCAGTGGGAGCCAGACTCCAGACTTACTGGGAGAATTGGGAACAAGTGTTCGACGACCCGTGGGTGGTCAACACGATTCGGTACGGCTATCGGCTCGATCTCAAAGCGAATCCGCCGCTCACCGTTGCCCCGTCGGCAGGTTTCTATTCGGAAACCGATCTTCCCTTCCTCGCCGATGCCATCGGCAGGTTGGTGGAGAAGGGGGCAGTTCGGGAGTTAGCTCTACCAGAAATAACACCGGGGTTTTACTCCAGGATATTTCTCGTTCCCAAGAAGGACAGTGCCGAACTCAGAATGATTCACAACTTGAAATCGTTCAACGAGTTCTACCTGCGCAAACCGCCCAAGTTCAGAATGTTGAGCTTGACGGACCTGAAAGCACTGATCATGCCGGCCGACTGGCTAGCTTCGATCGACCTGAAGGATGCTTATCTGCATGTTCCGATTCACTCGGATCATCACAAGTATCTCAGGTTTGTCTTTCAAGGCAGGCACTACGAGTGGGTTGTACTCCCATTCGGTCTTTCATCCGCTCCCTGGCTGTTCACCCGGTTAACCACCCCCATAGTGGGGTTCCTCCACCGGAGGGGTGTCCGGTACTTCGCGTACCTGGACGACTCGCTAGTAGCAAATCGAATGTCGGACCCCCTGTCACGCCATCTCGTTTTCGCACGTCGGCTCTTGGAGCAATTGGGGTGGATTGTCAATCTCCCCAAGAGCGAGTTAACCCCTTCTCAGAACTTGCAGTTCATCAGAGGTCGGTTCAACACGGTGTCCTATCGCCTATTTGTCCCCCCAGACCGGTGGCACAAAATTCAGGCGATGATTGCCAAAGTCTTTGCGGTGCAACAGACTGTTCACTTTTGGGAACAGCTGTTAGGGCTACTTGTATCAGCCCAGGACTGCACCAAACGGGGTCGTCTCCAACTCCACCCGCTGCAACGGTTTTTAATCCAGTTGTTAGCAACGGAGGTGAACAGTGCGACCGTCGCCCTCCCGGATCGGCTCCGACCGCATCTGGAGTGGTGGACGCTCCCTTACAATGTCCTATCAGGAGTCTCTATGCGGCCCTACCGGGCCACGTTGAACCTGTATACAGACGCCTCTCTAGTGGGCTGGGGCGCCCATCTAGAGGGGGAGGTGAGCTCGGGGCTGTGGTGCGTAGACGAACTAGGTCTTCACATCAATTGTCTCGAGTTCAAGGCAGTGATCAACGCAGTCAATCACTGGAAGCATCGTCTCGTCGACGCCCAGCTCATGCTGTCGACCGACAACACGACGGTAGTGTCCTATGTGAACAAACTGGGGGGAACCCACAGTCACTCGCTACTCGATCTCACGTTCGAGTTTTACGCTCTGGTGGACAGTGTCCCGTGCCAGATACGCGCCCGTCACATCCCAGGTGTGCGGAACGTACTGGCCGATGCTCTATCGAGGCCTCAGGATCCGAGCCCCACAGAGTGGATGCTGAACCCAGTAGTGTTTCAGTGGCTGTGCGAACGTTTGGGTCGTCCGATGGTCGACCTGTTCGCAACACGGTTCAACAATCAACTCCCGTTGTTTGTATCACCAGTCCCGGACCCGAGGGCCATCGATCACGATGCTCTCGCGTTAGACTGGACGGGCTTGGACGCTTATGCTTACCCGCCGACAGCGTTGATACCACACATTTTAAGCCGGCTTCGAGGAGTTCGCTGTCGAATGTTACTGATCGCGCCCATGTGGCCGAACAGATCGTGGTACCCCGACTTGCTGACCCGGGTCACGCAGTCGCCACTCCCACTGCCTGTGAGACCGGATCTCTTGATCCACCCTCACACCCGTCAGCTTCATCCAAACGCAGGGCAGTTCAATCTGCACGCGTGGATGTTGTCACCGAGCGTCTGAGGAGTAAAGGTTTTTCTCGCCGGGCTGCTTCAGGGTTGGACGCTGCCAATCAGGAGGTGCTCCTTTCGCAGCCTTGGTCTGCTCGGACCCTGTTTAATAACAAGATCCCTGGGGTTCTGAAGGAACAACAGGCCGCTGTGTCTGCCGAGGCCTCTCGGCACACACTGGATCTTGTGGGGTCCTTGCATAGGCGCCTGGGTGCCGCTCCGAAGCGGAGCGCGCCCCAGGATGCTGCGTCCGGCAGGCCTAAGGGGTCGGGTCCTTCTTCCTCCGGGAAGAAGCCCCGCTCTGAGGGCTCCGGTAAGGGTTCTCAGCAGCCCTTTTGCGGGAAGAAGGGGAACTGGGGGAAGCCCAAGTCGTCTAAGGACGGCAAGGGCCCCTCCAGGTGACTCTCATTGGAGGGGTTCGTGTGCCGACAGCGCCAACTTCGGTTGGCCCGTAGGCGAACCCGAGTCACTTGGCCCTGGACAGTTGCACCTGCCGCAGCCCGTCCGGCCCCCCTCTCTTTCCCCAGTGGGAGCCAGACTCCAGACTTACTGGGAGAATTGGGAACAAGTGTTCGACGACCCGTGGGTGGTCAACACGATTCGGTACGGCTATCGGCTCGATCTCAAAGCGAATCCGCCGCTCACCGTTGCCCCGTCGGCAGGTTTCTATTCGGAAACCGATCTTCCCTTCCTCGCCGATGCCATCGGCAGGTTGGTGGAGAAGGG